CTCCTAAATCACTCGTACGCACAACTTAAGAACAAATCTGTGCGTACGAACGGTTCTTGCATGAGGCCCATTGTTAGGATTTAAAAATAACTGTAGAAGTGCTTTTTTTTTACTTTCTGCCTGTCTTGTTAACGTTTTTTTTTCTAAATTTTCAAAACATATGGCTTAGTCTTGAAATGTGTCCATTTTCAGTTATCAAAAAATAAATAAATAAATTAACAAGATAACATTTCTCTGCTGTCTGTAGGTCAATGAGGAAGAATCTTCCACAGAAGAAAGCGACCTGTCGGCCACACCAAACCAGCACAAACACCAGCCTCACAGTAAAACCCAAAAATCCAAGGCTCACAAAGAACCACCTTCTATGAGGGCTCCCGGTTTCCCTGGATTTCCCCCAGGCCCCCCTCCCATGTATAATTTCAGACAGGTAAGGAAACCAGTTTATTAGAGGACTTACTTCCTCAATCAAACAACTGGCTAATAATTAATATTTGTTTTATTATTGTGGTCACATTTTTAATCTGTCAGGTTACCTTTTCTCTGCATTGCGTAAAGTATAAACAGTAAATTGTTTACAGTGAGTGCAGTGAAAAGAGCCTATAAACAAAACCCCCCCAGAGTTGGCATTTATTGCAGAGATATCGGATTGCAATAAATTCAACTTGGATTTGTCTCAATCTTTCTTCCTGCCAGCTTTTTCTTGCCTATGATTTATTTTATCAGTTGTTGCTATAAAAAGAGGTGAAATATCTCAGGCTGCGCTTGTTTTAAACCAGATGAAATTTGCTGAAGAAAGTTCATAAAACTTCCCTTTTTAATACAAAGCTTTTAGATGCATTACTTGGATATAGTGGGATCAAAATGTTGACATGTTTTCTAACAGGGAGAAAGCAGGCAGTCTGGTGGACATGGACCCATGCCTCCTTCCTGGCCTCCCATGATGCCCTTTGGCCCACCTGTAAGTTTGAAAATACTGTCTTGTCACAAATGTTTACAGTTTCAGAAGACACCATAAACTGTTTTTACATTTAGACCTTAACATCATGTAAATGTTAAAAAGTGGTTAATATTTGCAGGTCAGGGATCAAAAGCTGATGTGTTCTAAAGAAACAAAATAGGGTTGTTCAGTGAAAGAATAAACTTGAAATTTTATAGGTGTTACAAAGAAGAAGCCTGCAGGAATAACCCATATTCACCACAGAAGAGTAAAATGCATTGATTTTATTGAATTTGTATTAAAAAGCAGAGGTGTCACACATATTCACAATTACTTCACTAGAAGTATAGATACTAAGGTTTAAAATACTTTTGTAGAAGTTGAATTATCAACTCAAAAGTGTAAAAGTACAGATTTTAAAACAACTTGAAGTTTAAAAGTTAATGTAATGTTAGGGGGAAAATCCATTAGGAATAAAAGCTTAAGCTGCACCACAGAGAGCTGTAGGGCACAACCCCACCTCTCTCAAAAAATTCTATAAGGTAATAATGACTATAAAATATAACAAAATGTTAACGTTGAAATATTTTGGATGGACTAGTCTACTTGTTTCAGCTGCAGATACATCTCTGCCACGGTCATCTTTATACTCTGCTGCATATGTCTGATATGTTCAGCTGGAGTGTGATGGATCCTAATAAGTGTCAGAATGGTATACATTTATACGTCTCATCCAACCACAGTTAAATTCACTCTATCGTGGAGGTACTTTATATCTGAATAAATTATTTTTTCTGAACATTGAGAAGCTGGAATAAAAACAAGCCTAAGTGAAATAGAATAAAAAGTACCTTTTGCATTTTTAAAGTGTCAGGAGTAGATGGTACATATCATTGCATAAAAATGTAAGAAGTGAAATTAAAAAGGTGGCTGAAAAATAATTATTCCAGCACAGTAGAAATAGAGTAGATTTTAAAACCTGTCATTCTAGGCTGTTAATTGACTACAAGTGTTACAGCTTCTGCGTCCTGATCAAGCTTTTCTCTGCCTCAGATGATCCCACCTCCTCCACCCTTGAGTCCAGACATGATGGATGACGAAGCCTTGGGTAGTGTGCTCATATCCTGGTACATGAGCGGATATCACACAGGATACTACCTGGTATGTCCACAGAGGCTCACTGCTTTAACATGCTTCATAACAGGGATGTAGCAAAGTACTAATTGATGAAAAGTCCTTTGAAGACAATAATGTCTCACTTTTTTTTCCTTCCCCCCCAGGGATTGAAACAAGGACGTAAAGAAGCTGGCAAGTGGGCGAAAATGCACCACAAATGAAATTAACTCATAAGTTACTTTGGTTCTTAAAAGAACCCAGAGCCAACAACTTTAATTTGTATGTATGTCTTTTCAATAAAAGTTTTGTATTCTTTGTAAATAGAATGAATAAATGCTGTCAAGACAAAACAGACTCAATGTTTTATTGATATTGCATTACATAAGAAACTTTTTTAATGAAAATATGCAGGATGGAAGCTTGTTGTTTCTGACTCTATTTAAAACTAAATATCCATTAAAGTAAAACAAGCTGGAGTGGTTTGTTTATTCAAAATAAAGTGACAAAATGTTCTGTTTGCATTTTCAAACCCTTCACTTGGTGAAAACCCTTCTGACAGTAATGGCAGCCTCGAACCTTTTTGGTAATAATCCTGCAAACTTGGCACATTTTTTTCCCTCCTGGATTATCTTTCATTTCTGGCAGGGACAAAAAAAATCAAGCCCAATCAAGCTGGAAGGCGAGCGTCGGCATCATTTAGGTTATTCCAAAGACACTTTACTGGGTTAAGGTTCAGACTTTGGCTGGGTCTGTTAAGCAGAAGATTTTGAAAGCCACTTGTGTCATTTCTTGGTTATATAAAGTATTTCAGACTTTTTTTTAAATAAACTCTCAGGATACTTGTAATGTTTTCACAACGAAAGTGGGATATTGGGTTCAGAACGATAAACAGCAAATAGTGTTTCAAATTTATTTAGATACTTTTCACATTCTGAAAAAAAAAGGTATTTTGATCAATTGATAAACTAAATAGTTTAATGGGAAACCACATGATTGTGCATGTCATGGGCTCAGTCATTTGTGGCTGTAATGGCAAATATTGTCCAGCAGAAGTCAGAATAGTGTAATAAATTCCCATTGTAACACAAAGCCTGTGAATAAATGAGACTTATTTTAAGCCATGCACAGTCACGGTGAAACACAAAAGGCTCTCCTCTTCCATCTCTCTTGACATGCTGGTGTGATTGCGAGCCAGACTTGAGTACAGTTTTAGTCCCCCCAGACGCGTCCCGCGCAGTAAATTTCGAGAATCGTTCCAGTTTTATGCTCTGCGTCCAAGCTCTCTGTTTTCCCCGAGGTGTCCCCTCATCTCCCAGCCCATACAGGAACCCATCCATCATAATGTTTTTCAACTCGCATCAGATGGCTTTATACTCCAGGGTGATAGCAGCTACAGATATTAAGCCATATTGAACTGAATGCACAGATTTGAGAAAAAAAAAAAAAGGACGATTAGAAAATTGGTGGGAAATCCTCGCTTAAAATGGCCTCAGCCAAAAACTTTCCTGTCTTAATTTAGGTTTTAGTGTGTTTGTTTCTCCTCCACTACTTCACCCCCCTTCATGCTCTGCAGTTCTGTAATGTTGGACTTTTAATAATGCAAGAACACAGAAGGAGGTAGCTCTGTGGCTGCTGATACTTTGTGCATGTTTATATTTAGAATCCAGAGAACCACATGTAATTACAGTGGGGAAGAGAAACACTCTTTCTGCTCAGCCTTTCATTCCACAGGAAAAAAAACAACTGAAAAAGGCCTAACAAATTCCCAGATTTCCTCGACTTTGCTGCCCACTTACACCCACTCCTCTGGTTTGAAACTGGCAGGCACTGGATCAGATCATGTATATGTTTGCGCGCTCCAGAGGAAACAAACATAATGGGTTTTTGTGTCAGGGATGTAACAGCATGATTGTACCCCCCCCCCCCACCTCCCTTTTTTTCCTTTGTTTTAGCATGTGATTTTTATTTATATTTTTCTCCAGCTGCTCCACAGTCATCGCTTTCTGAGTGAAGAGCGGTCCCCTTTGTATACCGACTGTGGCTGACATTTTATATAGCCCACTGTGACTGCCCATATTTACAGCTGCGTTTGATTCTCGTTGAAGCCAACACTTTTGTCTTTGTTGCTTTATGTAGGAATGTGTGTGGGGTGGGGGGAGGCAAAAAAATAGAGGGAGAGAGAAAAGTGTAGAAAAGGGAAAGATGTTAAAAGGAGAAAATGTAGTCTGTGGTGTTTACAAATAGAATATGCACTACACACACAAAAAGTGATAAGCAAAACCTATCTTTTCCCCACAGATGGGTTTAAAATCTGCCACGGCAAAGCCTGTGCGTAAACCAATTGCTTGCCTGACTCTGCAGCAAAACTAAAGCTGCCCAAAGGGCCCCCGGGTGGAACCCACGTGGAGTTTAAAGGGGGGGGGGTCTGACCTTGCTTGGGGAAAGCACTACTCCTCTGTGTGACTGTCTAGACCCCCTACTGACCACCGAGGCGTGAAGCGTGCAAACATAATCTGCATTTTGCATAGTCCTCTTCTAGGAAACAGACATGTGAGTGAGATCATGAGTTTCAGGGGGCCCTCAGCTATCTGCTCAACCTTCCCACATCAACGAAAATTCTGCTTTTATGTAAGCAACTTTGGGATTATTTGACAAATAGAGTTGTGCAAGCCTTTTTTTTTGCTGATATTTAAAGAGGCAGAGCACCAAGGCTTCCCTGAAACACCAGTCTACAGTAAGTGTTTATTGATGCAGGACAGAACTAATGTGAACTATTAGGCATAATTGTTAGGAGGTGTGTCTGCGCTCCGTCTGAAGTTGCTGGGAGGCTGTTTTCACATTCACAACGGCACTCCAGTCTGTTGAATAATGCTTTTGAAATCCTGCACTTTTTATTCTTTGTTTTTCAGTAGAATACCAGACCTTTAAAAAAAGAGTTAAAATGTCTCAAAAGTATGACAACTTGTCAGGTGTCAGGCTGTGGAATTTCAAAGCTTGTTGTCTTGCCCTCCACTGAAGCAGCTGTAAAAGTTGCAAACAGAAAGTAAATAACTGTGGTGTACATTTTTTATCAGCCTGCTGGTTTCCAGCTGAAATCCCACAGGCTTAGTTTGTTATTCCTGCCTTCAGGAAATCTTTGATCTTTTTTTTTTGAAAGTTGAAAATGCAGCTGATCAGTTTTGGGTTCATATGGTGGGTTAAATGAGAAATTATTTTTTTTGTCAAGTAATTGCTATCAGAACAGAATGTTCCAGCATTGCAGAAAACAAGTTTTCTTTTTAGTTTTTTTAAGGGGTTTTCCAAACATTTGAAAACACATTTCAGTTTATTTATCTGAGGGTCATATGAGCGATGTGAAAGATCCAGTTTCTTTTTCTTTCTGGTATGTATTCATAAATCCCCCCTCTGCCACTGAAGCTGACCTCAGTGCCAGCTGAATAAAATCTGACCTTTTAGAATTCCTGTCACAGTGGGTTCAGAAACGTTACAATGTCTCCACAAGTCGGGATTCACATTCCTGTTGGATCTCCATGCTCTGCTGAAGAAACGGCTCTGCAATGAGAGTAAAGCTAATTCCACCTGGTTTCCAACCCCTTAAACAGCATGCAGCACTGCTACTAAAGAAATAAACATTCTCAGATGCCAAACCAGGAGCAAATATTACAAAATATAGTATGAAAGTTAAATATGCCACATGCTTTTCTAAAACTATTTTAAAAAATTGTTCCTGTGTTTCTAAAATTCTAAACCTTAAAAAGTTTTATTTTACATCATTTTCACCACTCGTTCTAATGAGACTTATTTATTTTTTATTCTTATGTTTTCAAGTGGTCACAGGTCTGGTCTGAAGGCAGGTCAGTGTATAATGAAGCCGTGGGACTTGGCACTTGTCTTGCTGAAATAATCAACCCACTCCCTGCAGACAGTCCAGATGGCAGCAAAGGTTTCTGTATCGGTGTAAATAAATCCACTGGTGATACTGGTGCTTTCACAGATGTGCAAATTATTTACGTCCCGTGCAATAATGAACCATCATCGTGAGCGATGGCTTTTGAACGAAGCACAAACAACGCGGCAGATGGCTCTTCTCAGTAGAACAGCATTTCAGTTTTAGTGGATGTATGAGGACAACTTTACACTTTGTCACAGTCTGTCAGTCATTATGTTACCAATTCATTCATTCATTTAGTCATTCTACATGGCGTTGCATACATCAGTATTCCTGAAGCCATGCAGTGGTGACTTAAAACTCGTAACTTTTTTAAAATAGATTTCTGTGGGCAGCATGGTGATTTGGTGGTTAGCACTGTTACCTCACAGAAAGAAGGTCCTGGGTTTGAGCTCTGGGATTGTGTGTTTGTGCGGGTTTCCTCCCACAGTCCAAAAATATGCATGTTTAAGCTGCCTTCAGGCCCAGGTCTCCCTCAAAAAGAAAAACTGTTATCACAATAGGATTTACCTGGTTGAATAAAGTTTAAAAACTATGATTTGTAATACAGTATAATATTGGAGGAGGGCAAGGTTTTATGTGACCCATCACATCAAATGAAGAAGTAAGTCGCAAAGTTGTATGTGGATAAATAGGCCGTTATAATGCATTGGTTAAAACATTTGAAGGAATTACATTTTATCAAAAAATAATGAATGAATACATCATCTGGATCGTTTAAAGGATATATATCATGCTTTTAATCTTTTCTGTTCACATGTAAATCATTCTGTTGGGGTAAAGTGGAACTGCAATGCTTTGGTCTAAAATTCTCCTTATTGTAACTCCACAAGCCCCTCTTTCACTTATGAGGTGTGTGTTAGATTAACTCCTTTTGATGCTGTCTCTTTAAATCCAAATGAGGCACTTCACACCCCGCCCCCCTCCAACTTCCAGATCTGCCCGTTCCAGTTTGAGAGAGGGATTTACAACTGTAGCACTGCAGAACAGTTTTATTTACAAATTACCGTAACAGTTCAGAAACGTCATAGAAAATAGGAAAAACTTGAAAAATATGACCCAAACAGAACACAACAATGTCTTTGCAGTTCCAGGAGAAATTACGTTCAACTTTTCTAGAGACTCTCAGAACACAATAAAATGCATTTAACAGCTAAAAAGTGGATTTTTTGTATAATATGTCTTCTGTAAATAAAATATCTGAAACATATTCTTAAAAATATCTTAAGCTCTTTTGAGCAGTAGCTACAAATAACATGATTTTGAGCAGAATAAAACTATTTTTGTCATTTTTCCCTGAAAGCTTTCCAGCTGATAAATCTTAATATCCAACAATTGTGGTTTCCTCTATAAAATGACATGAAAAATTCCTAATAGTAAAATCTATTTAGACCAAATATCAA